AAGTCCCTTAACAGCAACCCAGTACTTGTTGGTGGGAGCCAGGATTCTGGCGCTGGATCGAACATTCCAATGGGCCCGGAACCCTGAGTAGGCCCCTGGAATATTTAATATTTTCCCCAATGGCTTTAATAAAGGACCCTATATATTAACATTTTTCAAAGGGTTTTAGGGGCCAACCCAGGACCCCAGTTGCCATTTCTAGGCGGGGAAAGCCCAAGATATAGTCAGGCAATATCTTATAGTCCCTTATATAACCACTGATAACATTAGTGTGTCCTTATGAATATACCATAATTTACCTACCTAGTCAAGGGCCCCCAAGTTGAGAACCCTCCGTAAGATTTCAAGGCGCTTTCGCGGGAACTGGGGCTGCAGAAAGTCTATGGGGATGACGAAGGTCCCCCAGCTCTTAGCAATCCATGTTATCCCCTGCAGTGCCGGCGCGAAAAGTTTACTTAGAAAGATTTGTTTCAAGGGTACATGCTGTCATTGTTCAGCTCGTCTTCACGGCGCTTAGGCTGGCGGTAGCGTCCTGTGGTCCTCTGTTTTCAGCTGTGCTGAAGGCTAGCTGGGGAGGAACAAAAGCTTGTCTGATCTTCTTTGTGTGTCAGAGTTTTATTGTCCATTTCAGCACCCAAGCGCCGCCACGAAAACACTGTATACTAAAAATCCGGCATGACCTTGGTTTGGTATACTATAGCACCATAGCTTGCAACGTTTAGGGTACTTAGGGTCATGCAGGATTTGCAGTTTCCACCGTAGTGTGTTGCTTGATCTGCGTCACCGCGCAAAACGGGCCGTTTGACAGCTGATGTCTACTTCTTCATATCCTCATAGTGCTTTGCGTGTTTGGTTGAGAATGCGTGAACTTCTTTTGGGGATTATGGATGGATGATATTGTAGAGGGATTTCTTGAGTCCGTTCTGGCGGCATTGCCGACAAGGATGAATTAGGACATTCATCCGCGCTAGACTGCGGAGTCTGAAAAACTGGGGTCCTTTGTTATGTCTTTGCCTGCGAACTAGGACTTGGGGTTTTACAAGGTGCCAGGCTTGGAGATATTCCGCAACACAGAAACCCTACATCATGCCTACTACATCCAGTGATGCCAAAGCGTTTGTTTAGATTTGGAACTGTCATCGTGAGTCTGAGGAACTGGCCGTGGCGTGGTCGCTGGCCCAGTGATTTTCCGAAGTGGGAAGAACTCCAGTTTAGCATTGTAGGGAACACTTCTTTGTGCAAACCTCTGCGGCTAAACCCTAAACTTACACTCCCCCAAACTAACATGGAAACCCATATAGTCCCCTTTTAGAAGGACTGTAGTCTTTATAGGGCCCTTTTTGGGTTTCCATTTAGTTTCCGGGAGTGTAGCTCTTCTTTGGACATCCTGGGCGCCTGGGAGAGGCCTTTTACCTCTGGACCTTCGGCAACAATCAGAAAGGATTTGGGGTTTAAGGGTTTCAAAGCCTGCCAACTTATTGCAGAAGTTGTCCCCTTTTTTGATGCCGGGAGAGTTCTGCATTGCACGGTGCATATGATTGAGCGGGGCGGGCTCTTCTCATCGCCATACTAGCGGAGCTTTCATACGGGAGACCCCGATCTTGACCTCAAAATAGAAGCGCCGGTGCTGTGATAGGTTAGGCGGACCCCCCACCCATAGTGACTATAAGGGATAATAAGGATAGGTGCTCTCATATTCCTATTATGCCCTATACCACTATTACAGGGTGGGGGGTCCTCCTAAGTGATGAGTATTCCCCAACAAGGGACCCGAATTCATTGAAATCCTATTTGACATACGTAGACCAGCACCTACTGTTGAGAGTCCATTTCATGTTCCATTCTCTTGCGCAAGTCATTTTTGGCTATGACCCTAAGCCATGCATCCTAAACTACCTGCCTCAAAACCTGTACCTCTAAACCCCAAGGACCCTACACCCTGTAGCTGGTCCTAAGCCTTAAGCCCTATATGACCATTATATATATATATATATATTCGCTAGTACTGCGCCCTAAACCCTAAACCCTATATGACCCTTGTATATTCCCCTATTCCTTAAGCCCTAAACCCTATTCGACCCCCAATTTATTCCCTTATTCCTTACTAAACCCAGGGAAAGTACTGAACTGAGGTGCCTCTCTGCTTTGGCTGATAGATCTGCAGACGAGGCCAGGGGCATTTTGCTTCATAGGGCTGTGAAGTTCACAGTTGTATAGGGTGTAGGCTTTAGGATTTAGGCTGTGGGATTTAGGATGAATTTGTTGAGTTCAGGATTTAGGGTTTAGAATTTACATAGGGCGTAGGATTTAAGATCTACCATCTTCAAGCCACCAGCGCCCGAATCAGAGCGTTTAGCATTCAGGTCAGGGGTCTCGTTTTCTTGTTTTAGACTAACCCTACACCTCAAATCCCCAAGAAATCCCTACACGCTAAACCCACAAAAATCTTTAAACCCTAACCCCACAAACTCCCTGAACCCTAAACCGCCAAAAATATCACGAAACCCTAAACCACCAAAAAATAGTAGCGTGTAGCGTTCTGTCATTGTGGGCTCCGGGGCCAAGACCTCACTCTCCGGGGCCGAGACCTCACTCTCGTGTTCTTAGTCTAGCGTAGTCTTAAGACATGTGTAAGCTTACATAATTACCAACATCATCTAGGGGTTTAGGGTTTAGGATTTAGGGGTGTATTTTAGTGCCCCAAATTGACCTCAAATGCTATGCAAATTTAATCCGGCCCCTTCAGCATTGTATCGCGGTACCTAAGACCCTCATACTTGGGTATTTCTGCCCTACGGGAGACAAGTCGAACAGGTTTCAGCTTGAAACCAAAACCCCCTAAGCTTCGTGTTCGGGCAGCTCATAGTGCAGACCCATGATTAGTGAACCCTTGCCTTTTAAGGACCTACATATTAGGATCCCTATTATAATCCCTATTAAGGGGAGGGGGTTTATTAATCATGGGTCTACTCAGAAGCTCTAGCAGAACCTGACCACAGGCTATGGGGTGCAGAACAGGGATGTAAGGAGCCTATACTGGAGACCCGTAGTTCAAACCTTAGACTCAACCCTTAAACTATTCTGAGGTTTGGAAGCCTCCAGGCGCTTACTGATGTTTCTTGGAGGGGGGCGTAGTGAATCAGCACCTAAAACCTAAACTCTATTCTTTTAGAAGAGAGCCCATATTGCCTCCTCTGCTCCAATGCCCTCCTGCAAACACCTCCAGACTAACATGGAGCCCCATAGAAGCCGCCTTTGGAAGGGCAACTCACGACTTTACTGGTCGAACCACCAGCAAGCCCTAAGCTTCAGATGCCAAGCCCTCATTAAGTCCATCGGAGCTTGAAAGCCCGAAGCAGGATAGTTTAAGAGCATAGGGTTAGGATGGTTGTTTCCGTTGCCCATTCCATGCCTGGATGTTACCCTGAGGCACCCAACATGCCCCAGATCCGGAACCGGGTCAAGCACCAGTCATAAAGTGTGAGGCATATCATGATTTAGGGGTTACATAACACTTCTACTCGGAGCCCCCCAACCCTCAACCCTCAACCCAAAGCCTATGCCAGCGACTGTTTTCATTCTCGTTAGAGACCAAGATTATGCAGTGATAAGATTACTCGGTCATGAACACAGCCCTCGCAAAACTATGCCACCCCTTTCAAAGCAAAACACGACACCTCAAACTAGGCGACTTACACGGGTCCAATCCAAACGCAAGGATCTGGAGCATGCAAAAGCACGGGACTCACAAAACAAGGCAAAGTGATAGGGATGACAGACTCATTGTGCCAAAGCCTGCAAAACGATAGGCCTCCACACAGGATACCGTTGAAGTTTTACTTTGCTGTTGCAGCTGCTTGCATAAGGATTATGTGGGTAATTGCCCTGAACCCTGCAAAAATATCATAGTATACTTATAAAAGGATACCCTGAACCCTTGTAATCCCTTTAAGTAGGCTCCAACTACCATGAATGCCGCCTGAACCCTCAACCTCCTAAACCCCTAACCCCCTAACCCCCTAAACCCTAAACCCTAACCCCTAAACCCTAAACCCTAAACCCTAACCCCCTAAACCCTTAAACCCTAAACCCTTAATACACTTTCAAATAGGGCACGCTGCTGGGAGCCCTGGGAGCCCTGGCCACCGCCGGGCAGTGGGTGGAGAGCTCAGAAAGGCAGGTTTGTTCTAGGGCTGTTTTTTGGGGGATGGGTAAGGGTTTAGGGTTTAGGGGTGGGTTAGGGTTTAGGGCTGTTTTGGGAAAGTTTAGGGCTGTTTTTGGGGTGTTCAAGGATTAGGGTTTAGGATTGTTTTGGGGTTCAGGGTTGTTTGGGGCGTTCCGGGTTTAGGGTTCAGGGTTTAGGGCTGTTTTGGGCGTTCAGGGTTTAAGGCTGTTTTTGGACGATGTTTAGGGCTTAGGGCCTTTTTGGGGGCTTCAGGGTTTAGGGTTGCTTTGGGGTATAAGGGTTTAGGGTTGTTTGGGGGGTTTAGGGCTGTTCTGGGGAATTAGGGTTTAGGGCGGTGTGGGGGGCTCAGGATTTAGGGTATACCACTGTGAAGGGCCATGTAAGGCCATGTTATTGGACTGTATAGGGTTATTCGGTGCTATATAGCTTGGGTACTGCCCCCCCTCAGTAACAGTTGGATAATACTTATAATATGGTTATATATAGCCCTTAATAGGATCCCTGATATAGACTGTTACTGAGGGGGGCAGTACCCAATTATGTAGTAGTACCCAATTATGTAGTTCTATATGGCATTTTCCGTCTAGGGTGTGAGGGTGCATGGCTTTCAGGTTTCTGGATAATACTTGCCTGAAGGTGTTCCTACCACTCTAGTTTAGGGTTACGGATCCAGGGTTTAGAGTTAGCATTGCCTTAGTTCCAGAAATCGCGTACATCCAAACCCAAGAACCTTAAGCCCCGAACCCTAAAATGTCAGCCCCGAATCCTAAGAGCGAAGCGCTAAGCCTGCAACCCAAAGCCTGAGCCCTAAATGCCTGAAGGCAGGGCCGCAGGCCATAAAAAACTGAACATGAACAAGTCATTGGGGTTATATTGGGGTTATATATATTGTGGTTGTACTGGGGTTATATATTGGGGTTATATATTGGGGTTATATTGGGGTTATATTGGGGTTGTATAGGGTTTATGGGGGTTATAGGGGTTATTGGGGGTTACATTGGGCAGCTTGGCCTCAGAACAGTCCAGGAAGGTAAATAGCCTGTCAGCCCCAGGCATCTCCTTGGGACTTAGCTTGGACCTTAGACCCTTAACCCTTTGGGATTCCCTCATATTCCTATTATGGGTACCTAAGGGTTAACCCTTAATAGGGGTCCTAAGTCGCACGTAGGCATATAAAGGGATCATAAGGGTGGCGTTGTATCAACTTTTTAGGGTTTCGTGGCTCCTATCCCACGTTGGTACGGGAGTTTTGATCAACGCCCAAATCTCGGGCACTTGTTTTGTACCAACGTTTTTGCTGCAGCTGGTCTTTTGGGGCACGAGACTTGGAATGGATTTTGGAGACTACTTCCGGGCAGCTTGAGGACTTTGATAGATAGATCCCTAAACCCTACACTCTAAACCCTCATAGCTTTCCTCCAAGGAGCGGAGTTTGCAGCTGATGGCGCTCCCTGTCCCGTACTCGGCAGGGTTGGCCCCGACTGGCGCCTTGGTTCAGGGCTGAGGGTCGCGGGGCTCAGCGGTTTAGGGTGCCCTAGGGATCCATGTATACAAATAATCCCTACATTGGGCCCCAAAGTCTGTAAATATTACCTACATTGGGCTATTTGGATCCCTAGGGGTGTAGTGCAGGGGTTACACTCGTATCTCGACAAAATATCAAGGTGTCGAAGGTTTTTCCTCCGCAGAACCATTACTTGGAGGGTCACGGAGAGCAAGGTTAACACTGGTGACAGCTGGGGTAAGTAAATGGCCTGTAGGGGTTATACGCATATTTCTTGAGCCCCCCTGACCCTTTAAGTGTATGTATATTGTGATCCTGATCCTCAGGACTTGGCGCGTAGATGCAAGCTTCAGCTTGAGGCAGTGCAGCCGTCAAGCTAATATAGAGGCCAGGGGTCATATACCAATGTTATGGTCCTAGCTTCCGTGCAGAACTATTATTGGTCTTGGGTACCAAAAAAACAGACCTCAAGAAGTGATTTGGCAATTATTTGGCCCCTATGGGTCTCACAACAATCTCCTGGGACACCGAATGCAGTGGCCCATCTTTTGAGAAATACCCACGTGTGGACCACTTCCTCAGCGGTAACATCTGGCAGGTGTGTATACGGAGCCTCCCCTCATTGGTCTGAAGAAACATCCAACCAACATTGGCCCTAAACCCTAATTCCTAAACCCTGAACCCTAATTCCTAAACCCTAAACCCTAATTCCTAAACCCTAACCCCTACCCTAAACCCTAAACCCCTTTCAGGGAAGTCTCAGCACAAGCCACAAAGCTAAACTCAGCCAACTTGGGAGGGGGGGGCTAGTAATCCCTTCATACAGGTAGCAACCAGAGGGAATTTCAAAGAAGAGTGTGCGGATTCGGGCTTCAAGCCAGATCTAAAACCGTAAATCCCAAATCCCAGCCCTTAAATCCTATAGTCCCCCTTAAGTAGATAGAATATGGGATAATATGGGATATATGGGGATCGTATTGTAATATATCCAAAGCCGTATTCTGCTTACTTAAACTTAAAGGGGACTATATACCCACCCAGAAAGGTGCCAGACCACTTGAAGTGGCCAAGTGTGGAAGCCTACGGCTCGGCCCTTAAAGGGTTTAGGGTTTAGGGGTGAAATCTTAGAGCCCAAGGGTCCAAGTACCACTCGTAGTACATACCTGGGCTCCAGATGGGTTCTTATATGGCTAGTTATTTTCGGGCCTGAGTATACATGTATTCATAGGTATATACACATGTATATATATATATATGTATAAACGCACATATATAGACATATACACATGCAAATATATGTGTAATTATATATAGAGATACCTAGACCCTTTGGGAAAATATTGATATTGCTAGGCACGTGGGTGTGTAAGCTGGCGCGAGAGATCCTACATCGTTTTATCTCAGGTCTGCCCTTTGCACGCCCCCCAGGTAAGTTTTCGTTTCTTCTCAAAGAGGGTCTAGGGTCCCCAGGTACTTGGGTTTTCTTCTGGGAAGGGGCTTAGGGTTCAGGATTTGGGTGCTTTGAGGTTGAATAATTGCAACCCCTGGAGACATATCACTCCGGCACATACCAGGACATCTCAAGACGCGTCCGCGGCATTTAGGAACGAAAACTACATGAACCACACAAGTATGTAGAATAATTGCTTTTGGATCTTTTTTTAGTGGTTTCTGGGCTACAGTTTGCATACTTTGGGTTTCCAGTACATCAAGATGCAGGCTGCCATACTTTGGGTTTCCAGTACATCAAGATGCAGGCTGCCCTGAAAAACTCTTTGTAGTTTATTTGCCATCTGAAGTTGTAGCTGTTGTGAATCCGACTAATGTAGACCCCTGATTAATACACCCCTCCCCGTTAGTAGGGATTATAATAGGGCTCCTAACATTAAGGCCCTTAAACGGAGGGGTTTATTAATCATGGGTCTACATTAACAAGCTCTTCAACGCAGCCTCCCTGCCGACGCCTAGTCATTCCCCTCGTTTGGGCTACTGTTCAGGAACTTAATTCAAGTTAGAAACCTTATTGTTTACTATGTACGCGTAAATTGTACCTGAGTTCAAGTTCCTTTATTTACTATAGGGGCCCCCAAAATCCTAATAACATCCTCAAATTACATTTTTTTGGGGTTCTGAGGCCAATTCAGATCATTCCCCTCATTTAAGATGTTCCTCCCCGTACCTGGACCTCAAAGTAGTTAAACGGTTTTGTGAAAAAAGGAGGTAATTGTAAACGCTAGCGCGCGCCCGCCTCGGCTGGCGGGGCTTCCCAATGTAGGAACGTGTAATTATAGATATACAGGTATTTAAGTTAGGTATATAGATACAGTCATATGCCTATTACATACAGAATAAAACCCGAGAAGTCCAACTAGGGACGCGCAAGTAGGACCCGGGAAACCGGTGGGGAAATGTTCGGGGCCGGCGTTCGGACCTTGAGTTTAGGGTTCCGTCTTGC